CCAGACACACGGAGGGAGAAATGTGAAAGAGCTGAGTTCATCCTTGGCGTGCTGAGATGCAGAACCACGCTCGGGTCCTGTATGCGTGTTTTGGAGACACAGCGTACATCAATTTTAAGGGAGTACAAGGTTTAAGGAAGCATTGTCTGTCTGCCAATTTGACATGGAGTACGGGCGTTTAGATCTCCTATGTGGATAGGATCTCGTGGATTTAGAAAGTTGTTATTTTGTTAAATGTTTGTGAGCAGCGGGGAGCCTAAGGCCCTTCGGTCAGATGGCTGACAGTCAGATGGCTCAGCAACGTTTGCTTGTGCAGTGGGAAGGGGTTGGGAAGGGATATCGCTGGACGCTGAACTGCGCGGACAATCTATACTTCCCGGTTGCCCAGGCCGAGGAAGGGGGTTTGGTTGAGGTGCCCCACCTTGAGCCTTCGACTCAAAACCTGACCCACATGGCAGTGGGAGAATGTAGGATTTTGTTCGGGCACCCTGCCCGGAGCCGATGACTCAACAGTCTGACCTGCTCGGCTGCAGGGTGTTGGCCCAACCCGAGGGCGCAGGGAATAAGGCATTACTGTACCATTCCTGATGCGGCTGCGCACAGCAGGTGCCTTTTGAGCAGCACCGGGCTCTTTGGCTTAAAAGTATTGCGACCGTATTGGATATTGGTCACGGTCAACCGTTGGGCGATCGGAGTGTGCGGTTTTTGTGGCCGACCTTTTTTAACCCGTCCCTCCTCGGGGGAAGGCGGCATCGCTGCTTCCATAAATAAGGACATGCTGGTCGCCTGGGGGAAACCCCTTAGGTCGGATGAAGCAGATTTGCATGGCGGATCTGACCTACTTGCTTCTGTGTTAATGTTACAGTTCTCTAGTGGTAGAACATATTTAGCCATGCTGGTCGCCTGGGGGAAACACCTTAGGTCGGATGAAGCAGATTTGCATGGCGGATCTGACCTACTTGCTTCTGTGTTAATGTTACAGTTCTCTAGTGGTAGAAACATATTTAGCATATGTTGGTAAAATGTTCGGGAGAACTTATCCTATTAAGAAATCAACTGATGTAAGAAACAGCCAGTGACATAAAATTCATTGCATCTAACCACGAAGTCCGAAAACGGCGTTTCATCTTCTAAGAATATGCGGTGCTCATGTACGAGGAGGAATTACAGCTGATATCCACAAGAAAGTCATTAAAATGAACTCAAATTATACTTCCAACTTGTCATCAAACAATCAAATTCTCCTCGCGAATGTACGTCGTCATACGTCAGAGGAGAAATGGATTGATGATAGACTTCATGGTGAATCCATATCTGGGATATTTTCTGCTTGTTGAATTCTGAGAAAACAGAGTCCCTTCACTATGTTGTATTTTTGTCAGATTATTGTCCAGATTTGCCGTATGATCTTGTGCATGTGGAAGTTTTTCGCTTGTTGGGTTTCGTTTACATCTGTGTACGATGGAGGTGTTGGGCACCGTTTACATGTTTAAGTCTGTCGTATCATGCAGCATAACGAAACATTTTAGATAGCGTACTTATGAACGCTAAAACTGACATTTCGTGAACTGCGGGCTGTATAATCTGGGAATTCTGGGTTTTCAATTTTAGCGGATATTAGCGCCAACAGAATATCCTGTTGATGGTATACTGACTGTGAAAGAGGAAACGAACTTCACTTAGTTCGGAGCTCTAGTTTGCTCTGGTAGATTCGACACGCCAGATGCTAGGCACACCTAAAACTCCTATATCTATAATTTTTTTCAGGCTATCGTAAGTTGCGCCCAATCTTAGCTCAAAGCGGGGAGTTTAGTGCAAGGACACGAGGACTTGGATCAACTAATTACTTTTGCTACACAGCTGATGACTCTGTAACGAGGCTTACTCTATGACATTGGTGAATCGAATCGCCCAGCAGTGTGGGTCACATGGCTGGCTTTGAAAAATCACTTGAAAAACGGACGCATGAGAAACTGTACATTCCACTGAAGCCCAGTGTTCATAATACACACTATATTGACTCCAATTCCGTTGTAGATAGTTGTTTAATGTAAGATCTGTCTTAAAATCAGATATTTATAATAGTGTGTAATTATTACAACATTCGGGCAAATACCGTGCGAAGGCCAGACATACTATGCTTGCACCACCACGTAGCACAAATTAAACCACGCCGTCATTTTTCCATGAGATTAGGTAGCGCCTTCGCCTTGGAATGTGAAGCACTCACCCTCTTACATAACAAGTATCCCGTCCAAAAAGGGCTCATATCACGCGGTTACAAAAATTAGTATCTTCTGTCGAAACTTCGGACCTCAAGATAAGCAGTTGGTCGAACAGCAGACCTGCTATAATCGCAGCAAACCAGTGACTGCAACGTTCGAATGGAGATCAATACAAGAACTTTGTAATTTACTTGGCTGCTAATTGATGTATGTTCATTTTACATGCAATCATGCCCCTAAGTCTTCTTTTGGAGACGGTTGATCCGATTTTCGGATTTTCCGACCTTATTATATTCCTTCGCTCTCATTTCCGTTTCACACTCGATGACGGGAGAAAACCCACGTATACCTTACAGCAAGTCTTATGAAAAATTTTGGTTCCATATTGCTACTGCGTACAGCTGTACAAAAACTTTTGGTAAGGCGCTTTTCACTCGGTTACTGCGGGGAGTAACGACAGTAATATCGTTAGTCTGCAAATATTTTCCGGATGGCATGCGGCCAGAAAGCATTTCTGCTTCCAGTAAATGCTAAATTGCTTCCGTGCGAAAAATCTTTCTTTCCTGTTTCTATATTGAGACTATCTCGCCAATAGTTTGAAAGTACATCCACCAAATTGCTAATGGTTGTCAGTAGTTTGCCAAACAGCGTTTTCTCTGTCTTTTGATTAGCTTCATTTACTTAACTTACAGGCTAACTGATGAATTGTTTCAAATGTATTAAAGTTTCTTAGCACTTTATTCTATATCTGCTTGCAGGAACGTCCAAGTTCCTTATAAAGCTCTCCAGCGGCAAACCAGACCATAAGCATTTCCATAAATTAGGTGTCACAAGGACTCTGCGTCGTTCATAGTTTGAGCACTTGCACGTTGTCTTTGTTAAACTAAGATGCATTTCCTCTTATTCTTTGCGCCCCGGTATTTTTTGTGCAAAATCCATTTGATGTGTTGTTCCCTGTACCTTTCTAAATTGGATTTCATCGCTTTGACATTTAGAATCTTGGATAGTTTATTCGTCCTGCCGTTCCATTTCGTCGGACTTACTTCGTAATCTGATGGACACCCTAGTGTGTTTGTTTTCCACAGTACCAGACTTGTGACGATTTCCTTCCTAATGGCTTAGCTAATTAAGTTTACCTCATAAATTTTGAAATTTCGGAAGCTGCTACAAACCGAATCCGTGATTGCGGATCACTTTAACAAGAACTTTAAAGTGTAACAGCATTAACCCAGCTGATCCTCCAACTTGTCTACTGTGACGGTCCCAAATTCAAGCGCATGTTTTCTCGTGAAATTTGGCCTAAACACATTACGGTCTAATGTATATCCGCTAGTTTTTTGAATACTGTAAGGTTCACAGTGCGAATAAAGCCTAGTAATGTCGTACATCAATCAGCAGGATTTAGACGCGAAAAGTTATCACCGGTATCCATTTACACAACCCGTTTATCGCAACCCGGTGTTGGCAGGCGCCTTGAGTGGCATTCTCGAATCGGGGGAAGGGCGCGTCTACACCATTCTGTTGGCTTATTTATCTATGTTCAGATTTCCGACAAACTAAGTGCGATACCTGATAAACTTTGATGTTTTAAACAATTCTTCAGACACTTACCCTGTCTGAATGGCTAGTTTGAAGAATCCATATCGCTGGCGAATGACTAGTCTGTATTGACCAGGTTTCGCCTCGAGTGCTTCTGGCGCTCCACCGACAACAACAACCACAAAGTTTCCTGTCTTGCCACATTCTTCTGCATCCAAAAGGTAACGTAAGCCGCGTTTCGTGGCGGCTATGATTCCTGGAATAAGACAACAGTTTCTTAGTAATACTGGTACGTTTAAACTTTCATATAGATAGCAGACACTTCATAACTTCAAAACGTCAAGGCCTTATTCAAAGAGGTATGCATTCTATATGAAACTGATGTGGGTTTGCAAGCTTCGCTCAAACTGTTACTTGCCAAGCTGCCACAGAGAAAGGGCCCTTTAATCGGCGCCCGTAATTGTCGTTTGTAGTTAACCAGCAATCTGTGATCCACTTAGGAGAGTAAGGTCGATGGTTGCCCCAAGCTAGTGACTGCTGAATCATGAGGTAATGTGCTGAATGGCATTCAACCGCAGTTGATTTAACATGAAGGAACAATTAAACAAAACTGCGCATCCTAGATACCTGACTTGTTTGAAAAACGGGCGCGAAGTAGACGGTTTGAAAAACTCACGCACCACCTGGCTTCAGATTGGGTCGAAAATTGCAGTCAAGCGCGAAGAAAACCCAAAGGACTTTCATCACTAGTAGAGCTTTTTCATTCTTCAAGGTTACACTAGTCTCCATTATAGGGTACAGCTCACTATTGCCTAAAACATCTCACTATTCCACAGAGACAAGTCAAACGAAGTAATGATATTATTCTTGCATCACAGTTTGGACTAAGAGAATGCATGAAGAAAAATAAAATGCCAAAGAAAATGCTTTATTTTTTTTATAGATTACGGAAACTTGAGTATCAAAAACAAAAACTGGGAGGATTATTCTTAACCAAGTACGAGGAAATCTAGAAGCCAAACCGGCATCTAAATTAATTTTCACCTGTGTTCCGTGGTTTTTGCTAAAACATGTGAGACATACTTCGATAGAGCAAGGTGTTCACAGTTTAACTCCGAGGTGGAATCCAATGGCAACGCCTTGCGCTAATGGTTTTCACACTCGCTCCAAACACCCAACAAGGAAAACTGTTACTAAATGCAAGCAATAACATGATGTTTGTATGTGGTTTCGAACGACGCATTCACTCAATTACTTTTGTTTTTTTTTTGTGCGGTGATAACATCAATTAAATATTGCACTTGTCGCCACCAGGTATCCTACGGTTGCCGGCAACCAATATGTTATAGTTGAGTCATCAGTTTTTGTCCTACATAGAGTTCTATTTCTGTTTCTGAAAAAATACGTTATGGGTCATCAAAATGGAGAGTGGCCTATAGCGTAGGGGATCCCGTTTGTAGTCGGGCTACCAGTGTCATTAAATGCCCCAATTTCCCGAAACAATTGTTGCCTTTTCTGGAATTTTATTTCCTGAACGTCCACTTGTACAACGTTTGTGCATATCTATACATAGGAAAATTTTCTGGACGAATAATTCGTGAAACTTGTTTCACTAACTCACCTTTTCTATCATGAACAAGCCCTTTTTTCAAAATATCCATATCGAAATTATTCTCTTTAGTATATCCTCTGAGCAGTTGTGATTTCAGATTACACCTATAATAATTAGTATCTATTATCTAGGTAAATGTTCCCCTCAAAAATTTGTCGGGAATGCTGAACAAAGATATTTGCTCATTTAATCTTGCTACGTAAATAGTGGGAATCTATCAAGGAAGTATTGAAAACGCAGTGTGATTTGTAGCCTAATCTGCCGCGCAGTTCATAACCTTTACAAATAGAAAAGAAAGTAGTAAGTCAAATTTCTTAACACAGAGGAACTGTTTCCTTCCACAAAGTATGGGACAAAAATTCATTCACGGAATGCACTAGATCTTCTGCTGTAATTGCATGCACGAAATTCAAACTCAGAATGTTGTTAAACAGGTTTTGCATTCTATGGGAACCTTAAATATCGACCTTAATTATTAAATGACATCGTCTAGGCCAAAAATGTTGCATAACACTCTCCAGTTTCCTGCATCCACGTGGTACTTGTAGGCAATCTATAAATGCCTCTTTTCGAGCAAAACAAGCAAGTTTACTGTGAAATGACCGGATTGAGTCGCAGGACACTCTCATTTGTGTGACTTTGGTTCGGATAAATATGACAGATTGCAAGTGGTCATCTTGTTGATGATACTTTGTTGCTCGGGGTCACGTACGGTGGTCGGTGCTCTTAATAGGCTTATACCAAGACACCCGATAAATAAACAACACTAACATGGGTCCAAGCAAGCACCGTATGGAAGGTTATCTAATCGATATTGAGCGCCCACAAGGTAGTCTTTTATGCTTCAAGATAGCATCCTACTGAGTGAAGCACTTCCATTTAGATGCATTCCGTGCTTCTGGACGAATGTGTGCGGGTAAGAGGGCAATTTGAATTGAATAACGATTATGCATGATTCGCTGTAAAGGGTTCGATCAAGCACGTTGAATCTGACCCGGGTAGCAACTTTCTATCAGCAGCTACTGTGTCTAGTATGCTTCGTTGGCCAATGTTTGACGCCCATTGCAGATAGTTAATAGAAAACTACAGGAGTCATCTGGACTTTGTTTGGGGGAATTTTTCGAGGAGTGCTATTTATAAAGCAAGCTAGTTTTTTACGCAGAGCAAATACACTAGATGATGTCTACATGTGACTTTCATAGTTTCTCCAAAGAGCTTATCCAGTATGGTGTTTAACAGAGGTTGAAGAAATGTCCTATTTTCCTCATGTTACTATTTGGTGGATGTGGAGATTGTGAGATCTCGGGTACTCATGGCCACACCTTGAGAGTGCCCAAGAAGGTTCAGTCACCACACACTTTTTGTGGTGCGAACAATCTTCGTATATGTATAAGCCATTCATTATATCACGGCAGATTTGTCCCGGCTGTGAGAAGAGCACTTATATGAGATAAGCAGACCTTTTCACAACTGTTCTTTTTTAGGCCAACCATTTTACTGTATCACCATGTATTGCAGCCGACAAATCCTGTAGCTACCCTAGTGGTTGCCATCTGAGGTCACAGCATTAGTGGTTTCGCAGTTATTTCTGTGACAACTTTTAAATAAAATAAGTGCGGATTTCCTCTCGTTCATCATGTAATAAGCCATATGTATTTAAGTCAAAATCCCCAGAACCATTCGCTTTTTCAGTCGGTGGGTCATCCCCTATTGAATTGTGCTAAACAGGACTTTTCAAATTTCAAGTTCACTCTTTGAAGTCACTTGCTCTTTCTCTAGGTCAAAGCTATAAGGCAGTGAGATGTAGCATTTTTCTCTTAGTAGTAGAGGCCGAAGGGCTGCTCAGGGAGGGTAGAAAACTTGACAAACAGAGATCAACCGCACTCCCTTGGTAGCCTTCATATGATCGAATGAACAGAACTTTGCCAAAGAAATGGGTTTATCAGGTTGCATTGATAACAAAACAACGAAGATCCTATCATGTAGGTAAGGTGAGTTTGACTGAAAATGCCTGCACTGTTTTTGTGGCACGCTTTGTGGATCCGCTTGATTGCCATTGTAACGAACTGGAGTTTTTGCTAGACAAAATGATTATCCCACTCATTATTCCGTTCAAACTATTCAGACGTCCGACAGTCCGCGGGTCTACACAGATTAACAAGATGGTAATAGACTTGAACGCTTGGGGACAAATTTCACACTTTAGTACCGTTCCCATCAGAGGCAATGCAATCTTGCTTCGCAACTTCCTAGACAACTGCGTGAAATTTCTAAATATTGTCACACGGTGCGACTGATTTCCGTTGTTTCGAACTCGTGAAATTCTTCGATTTTCAGGTTCCTTCTTGTTCAACAAAAGATTTAATTCCGCACTGATATGCCTGTCAGCTGCAAGCTGACTTGAAGGAAAGTCACAAAAGCTAACATTCATCGTGTGGTTTAATACGTGAGGGCTTACCACAAAATCTTGACAGCATCGTTGGTAATCAGAGATAAGCTGCTGTAAAATCTAGGGTTAGTGTTCCATCATATGGGTAAAAGCTTACCAAACACCATCGCAGTTTTTGTTAATTTGGACCATCAGTCCCCAAGTACTGTTCAAGGGATCGACAAATCATGCTTTTCTCGGGAGGAGAGTTTCTATTTGAGGTATATTTATTGCTTATGTATACTATTCTTAAAATTTTGATGACTGATACATACGACGTGACGCTGATTCACTCTTAACTAGCTCAAATAATGAAATAACTCTTGGTCTTCCGTTTGCTTTCTTCTAGTATCCTGAATTAAGTGCACTGTTAGTTCTCTAACGCTTTGAAAAATAATTCATTTGAACTGAAACCTACTTGATAGAAATCCTCTGACCAGCGTAAGAGGATGAGTTGCACCGTGGGTACACTTTGTGTATCACTTGAACATTTCCTCCAGTAATTCTGGGTTATTTTTGGTTATTTAAGATCATCTAATATTGTAGGCAATTCGTTTTCATAGTGCCGCCTAGTCTTCAACTTTGGTTCACTGCGTGAGTGAATCATGAAACCCGGGTGTATCACTCTAATCCAGCCGAAAATATAATATTTCAATATAGTATATAAATATATAATATGTATAATAATATTATACAATGTTATTGTTATACCAATATTATCCTTGACTAAACCGGGGAAACCTAGGCGACTGGTTCTTATCTCGTTTATACAATTTATTAGCATACATAAAATTTGACTTTTTGGTTAGATGGACCTATTTTCTTGACAATGGAGAATTGACTGCGACAAGCTCGGTCTTCATTTTGCACTTGTTGATACGTATTGATCATCCATTGACCAAAGTTTCATCAATGCGTGCTTGTTAATAAAATGTTCTTGTAGTGCGGAGTGCTTTGGAATTCGGTGTGTATGCGTGCTGTTCCGTTTAACGTGACAAAGGCCTCCATCAAGAGCTACCAAGGCGCCTACTATTTGATATAGTCATCTCTAGACTCGGTTCATCTGCACATTTATGTACGAATGGTATAGCCGTTTCATTCTTCGTTACCAGCCAACCAACCTAGTTGTGTGAAAGTTGAACATTGCTCGAAGCACAACAGAATTGAACTGAACGATTCCTCCTGAACCAAATATAACGGTGAAATTATGGAGAGATACCTAAATCAAAGGGGATCTTTTGTCAAGTTTTCACCTTCCCAATAACGGAAAGTCCATCGGAATATTTGAAAGTGACATGCTTCCGGTGGATACGAAAGCACTATTTCTTCTAATACACTTACAGTAAATTATGATTGATGTCCATTTTACCCTACCAGCGAACCAATCCAAGTCTGCTAAACTGCTGTATATATCCTTTAATTTGGTACTTTTGATGCAATTAGTAGAGTTTTAAACTTTTCTTACGACAAACATTATGCGCTTTTTATTTCTTAGCCCGAGGTTGGATGAAGGAATGTAGGTTTGCTATTGCCAGCTGACTAACAGGGTGCATCAAATAAAATGGCAGTATTTTAGCTCTCTAAATTCTAAAAATTTCGACGGAGTGATTTACGAGGATTACATAAATTTCTGAAAGCAGGTTTTCTCAGTTTTGTGTTAATGTCTTGTATTGCATATGATGACGGAGACTCCAGTCAACCAGAAGGCTTGTTCTGCAATATCCGAAGTTCTTGGAGCGATTTACCCAACCAACAGCCATTTCTGACACAAGTTGAAGGTTGTGGTTGAACTTACCCGTACAGCAAGGCGGTGCATGAAGCATCGTTAGAACGGCATTAAAGGTGGGCGCTGATTGTCACTTCATGCTGTGACTAAGAACAGAAAATCCACCTTCGAGATAACATTATTTTTTGCTGACCTTCATTTGCACCTTATCGTCGTTATAAAGACCAATATCAGCCATATGGTGAACAAGTCAATTGCACAATTGAGCACATAATTAATTCAAATACGTTTCAGACTTTGTACTAGTCTTTCATAATACATTTAGGCTGGTCAACTTGACACATTATGCCGAAACGTATTTCGTTAAGTTGCTTCATCCTTAAAGATTGCACTTAATGAACTGCCAGTTTAACAGCAGAACTTTTCACCCCTGTCGTATTGAGTTTTAATTTTTCGCCTCGGTTGGAGATGGACCCGGAGGTTGTCATTATTTTGATTTTCGACGCTCTGCACCTATCCACAATATTTGTGATGTGGGAGTCACATTCCCTTGCGTCTATCTGTAAGAATAATTGCAACAGGAAATCT